CTCTCGCCTCCCATTCAGTGCCCTCTTGCCTGGGTTCCAGTGGCCTTTGCCCACCTTCTTGTGGGGCTCCTCTTTACTCATAAAATGTCAGAGCTGGAAAGGTCCCCATCCGGCTTGAAACCCTCATTTGACAGAAGAAAACTGGGGTCTAAAAAGGAGAGTGACTGACTTAAGGCCAGAGTGAGACAGCGGCACACAGGCCGGCACATCGGCCACCTGCCCCTGTCCTCCTGCTTCTCCGTCTCCCCTTGGCCTCCGCACTGCCCACCCCACACTGCCCCGTGTCCCGACAGGCTTTTCCCCAGCTCCCCTCACCCACACTCACCCCCCCGGCTCCCGCTGCTTTCCCTTTCCTGCCTGTCCTCCCCGCCACGCCCGTGGCCAGGTCCTGACTGACCGCGCTGTCTCTTCCCACAGTGCCTGAGGCCCCCGTCATCGACACCCAGCGCACCTTTGCCTACGACCAGATCTTCCTCTGTTGGCGGCTGCCCCCTCACTCGCCACCGGCCTGGCACTACACCATCGAGTTCCGGCGCACGGATGTGCCTGCCCAGCCGGGCCCTGCCCGCTGGCAGCGGCGCGAGGAGGTGAGGGGCACCAGCGCCCTGCTCGAGAACCCCGACACAGGCTCCGTGTACGTGCTGCGTGTCCGTGGCTGCAACAAGGCTGGCTACGGCGAGTACAGCGAGGATGTGCACCTGCACACGCCCCCCGCACCAGGTGAGAGGGCAGTGGGCGGGCACAGGGTGGCACAGCGGGCACAGGGCCCGCTGGAGCTGGGCGGGCTCTGCAGGGAGGTCTCAGGGTCACCATCGCCGTCACCAGCGCTGCAGCAGGACTGCCCGGGCTCCATGCCACCTCCGCCGCCCCTGTGGCTTTGGGCATGTTATTCACCCTCGCTGGACTTCCAGTTCTTTTTCTGTGGGGATTTCCGCACTTACCCCCAGGGCGGTGAGAAGTAAGTGAGATGAAACGTGGAGCTTTAGCAACGTCTCCCACTCATCGTAAGGGCTCAGTAAACGTGGGAGTGACCCTGTAGAGAGTGGCGTGGCCCCGAGGGTCGAGGCAAGCAGAGGTGCTTCATCTTCCAAGTCAGGGGGCATGAGAGGTGGGGGTTGCGTGTGGGGCCGGCTGTGAGCCCCAGGAGTGGGCCCCAGGTGTGGGCCGGCAGGTGCAGACAGATGGAGCAGGACAGTAACGGGGACAGGCCATGGGGTCAGCCTGGAAAAGCGGTTGGAGAAAGCATTGCAAGCCAGTGGGTCTGGGAGACGGGTTTCTGTGCTCACTGGTCGACACTGAAGCTCCTCCTGAGCTCCCATGCCCACCTGGGTTATGCCCTCCTTTTTCTGTATGCCCCCCCATTCCACTTCTCCAGACCCTGCTCCCAGAGGCCCCTGCCCACCCGTAGGTACTTGGCCCACGTTCTGAAACCTCCCAGTGTCTCCTGCTAACACCTTGTGGCCCAGTGCTAGCCCTGAAGTCCTTCCTTCTGTCTCATCCCTCCCCAACTCCAGTCCTTCACTTCTTCCTGGATGGTCGCTGGGGCACCAGCCGAGAGCGACTGGCCATCAGCAAGGACCAGCGGGCGGTGCGGAGTGTTCCAGGGCTGCCCCTGCTGCTGGCCGCCGAGCGGCTCCTGACCGGCTGCCACCTGAGCGTGGATGTGGTCCTGGGTGACGTGGCTGTCACTCAGGGCCGCAGCTACTGGGCCTGCGCCGTGGACCCCGCCTCCTACCTGGTCAAGGTGGGCGTGGGGCTAGAGAGCAAGCTTCAGGAGAGCTTCCAGAGTGCCTCCGACGTGATCAGCCCCAGGTCAGGCTTCCCGGGAAGCGATGGGTGGGTGCTGGGGACAGGGAAGGATGGCAGGAGAAGCACACCTTGCTGGGTGCAGCTGGGGGATCGGGAGGAAGCTGTAGGAGCGTGGCAGTTGGTGTGGGGTGCCTGTGGCCAGGGGTAATGTGGGCTCAGTGAAAGGGTTTGACTTCTCTGAGTGTGCGGTTGGGGACAAAGATGACAGCAAGAGAACCTTCTCTCCTTCCTCCATCGGCCTCTCAGGACTAAGCCATCTCTCCAGGTCCCCATGCCCTTCCCTCCCACCCATCAGCCTTTCCTCTCCAATACCTCTCACCTCTTCCACTTTTCGCACCATCCTCAAGTTTTCCCCTCAACCTTTCCATTTCCAGGTCCCCTTATTCCCAACATCCTTTAACACTCTCCCATGCCTGCCTTTCTCCCTGGACTCTCTCCCATACTCTGTCCCCCAACACCCCACTTCTTTAACATCCATCCGAACCCTATGCCTCAACTCCACATTCCTCTACATCCTTCGTCTGGACACCGTCTGCCCCCTTTCTCCCCTAACCTCTGCCTTCTCAACATTCTCTCTCTGCTCTTGCTCTCTTGCTCTCTCCCCAATATCCTCATCACTGACTCCCTCATTCCTCACTCTCAGAACCCCTCCTGACATGAGATCCCAACACGGTCTCTCTCCCACGTCCCATCTCAGAAAGCCCCGCAGGTCTGCACTGTGCCTTCCCCAGGTCTTTCCTTCTCCTAGCACCTCCTGCCGACAGTACCCCTTTCCCACCAGCCCCCCACCCCATTCTAACTTGTTTCTGCAACACCTTCTCAATATGCCAAACCAGGCTTTTCAAACATTTGCTCTCCAACATTCCAACCTTCTCACACCTCTGCCCGCCAGGACGGGACCCGCATTCCCTTACTCTGCGCCCGCCAAATCTCGCTCCTGCAGGTACGACCCTGACAGTGGGCACGACAGCGGCGCTGAGGATGCCACAGTGGAGGCCTCGCCACCCTTCGCTTTCCTAACCATCGGCATGGGCAAGATCCTGCTTGGATCCGGGGCCAGCTCAAACGCAGGGCTGACAGGGAGGGACGGCCCGGCCGCCGGCTGCACCGTGCCCTTGCCACCCCGCCTGGGCATCTGCCTGGACTACGAGCGGGGCCGGGTATCCTTCCTGGATGCCGTGTCCTTCCGTGGGCTCCTGGAGTGCCCCCTGGACTGCTCGGGGCCCGTGTGTCCTGCCTTCTGCTTCATTGGGGGCGGTGCAGTTCAGCTACAGGAGCCCGTAGGCACCAAGCCCGAGAGGAAGGTCACCATTGGTGGCTTCGCCAAGCTGGACTGACCCTCTCGCCCCTGTCGGACCCTGGCCCTTGAAGGCTCCTGGTGCCAGGTTGCTCCTCTGGCAGCTTGTGCCCCAGACTCTTCCTGCTCTGTGGCCCACCCCTTAACCTGTGTCTGTGTCTCCCCCAGCCTTCTCTTAACCAAGGGACTTGTCTCTGCTCACCTCTCTGGATGTCTCCTGTTCCTTCCATCTTCTGTTCATCCAGCCCCCACCCTCACCCCGCCCCCCACCCTCACCCCTGCCCCCTGGCATCTCACCTACGTTACAGAGAGAGCCCTTGCCCATCCTGTCCTGTGCTCCTCCCGGGCTGGTCGAGCGGGAAGGCACCTGGAGCACACGGCGTGATCCCCAGCTCTGCCCTCTGCCCTGCCAAGCCTCCCAAACCATCTGTGCAAACTGCAGCCGTGGGGCAGACAGACTTTTTGCTCGGACACTGCCCAGGCACTCCCTGGTGAGGGGAAGGGGACCCTGTCACCTGCTTTATCATTTGGGTCCCCACGCCCCTTAGCCGCATGCCTCTTATACCCCTCCTCTCCCTCTTGCATGCTTTACCTGTCCCCAGCCCCTACCAATGTGCCAAGTCTCCCTTGGGGCCCCAGCTAAGGTTGGGGTGTCTCCACTGGACTGGGTCAGGCGAGGCCTCTCATGCCCAATGCTGCCCTCCTGCGGTGGGTACTGATTGGCCTGTGCCAAAAGACAGCTGTGATTTTCATGGTTTATAAACAATAAACTGTGATGCCAGGCACATCTCTGCCTTCTGTGACCCGACCATTCCTCGTAGTTTCTGTGCTGCCAGCAGGCAGGATCCGACGTGGTGCGCTATTGCTCAGAGCAGAGTGCCTGCTGGAACCAGTACCTGGGAGGAGAAGGTCCCCAAGCCAGGCAGTCCCGCCACACATGGTTCTGGCCAGGCTGAACTGACCTTGGCCACCATGTCATGCAGTGCCCTGGCAGCTGCTTGCATCAGGCCTATGGGATGTCTGGGTGGCAGCCCTAAGGGAATGTGGTTGAGGGGTGTGCCTAGGCCCAAAGGGGTCAGGGAGCTGGAACCATTTCCCCATTCCGAGGGCTCTGAGTAGACCCCAGAGGGTGGAGCGGCCACAGCCAGGGAGGGGTTGAGCCTGGTGCCAGTCCAGCCAGTCCCCGGATCTGACGCTGCTTATCATGGTCTTGTTGACTCTGCTGCTGTTATCTCTGCTGGAGGACTTACTTCACACTCAGGCAGCTAAGAATAGAGCTGCCTGGGGCACCATGCCAGGGGAAGAGGAGGACATTGCGGGCTGCCCCAGGCCTCTCCCCTGCCCCCTGTGAAACCCAGGCCCAAGAAGCCGCTCAGTCACAGGCATGCTGGCAGTCACACTGCTGGCGTGCTGGAACCCATCTGGGTTTCATTTCCTCCTTCCTCCTGTGCCACCAGGCATGGGGGAGAGGTGACTAGGTTCTTCCCCAGCCACTCCTGTGCCCCAATGTCATCTCTCCACGCCTCCTACTCCTCAAATAAGCCCTGCTCTTTGTCTTCTTCCCTCCCTGTCATCTCCTCCCCCAAAAGCTCTTTCCATGGAGTCTCCTCCATGCTGGGGTCTGCCTTCCTAGTTACCAGTCACGGGTGATACGGCAGTCACAGATGGCATGGTGGGTCAGAAGTTGGTGGTTGGCACAGAGCGGGCCACATTTTATTCAGCTATGGTCAAGTTTCCACTCCCAGCTCAGGCTTTCTGGGCCGGTCCTCCCGGGATGCTCTGCACTGCTGCCCCAAGGCCTGTTCCCCAAGACTTGGCTGGGCTTCATCAGGTGGAGGGGTTGTAAGACTCAGTGGGCCCTGTGAGGGAAGCTTTGAGCAGTCCTTGTGAATTCCCAGCTCACAGGCCCAGAAGAGAGTTGGGAGGCAGCTGGCACTGGTGAGAAAGACTCTCCGCAGACAACGTGCCCCTACAAGTTGGCAGAAGTGGCTGCTGGGTTTGTGTAAGACAGGCTGCCGCCATTGCCTGCACAGACCTGGGGTCAGAGGGGAGAAGGGGTCCAGGGTGAGGGGCAGAGCTTTCCTGGGTGCGAGCTATTCTTGGGGCCCTGGGATGGCATCCTAGGCTGAGTGAGCTCTGGGAGCCTGACCACTCACTCTCAAGGGGTTAATACAGAGCAGCACCTGCTGGCCACCACCGCAGCCAGGTGACTGTAAACAGGCCCCTCCTCCCCCTGCTCCTTTCACCCCCTCTTTTGGTTCCCATCAGTCCCCTTGCTCTCCCTGTACCTGCCTCCCTCCATTCTCTGCTCCTTCAGCCCAAGGAAGTGTTAGTGTCTCTGGGTAAAACTTGGAGAAGGAAGTCCCAGAAGGAGGAAAAATCAGTTCCAGAAAAGGAAACTCCTTCCCCTCCCCCACCTGGAGTGGGGCCACTGCAGCCCCAGGCGGCCAAAGTAATTATTTACCAGGTCCTATAGTGAAAAGCCCAAAGGAGAGGAGGGGTCCACAGGGCTCCAAGGCTCCCCGGCCTCTTCACCTTCAGCGCCCTCCCCTCCGGCCTCTCTTACCCATCTACCTTCAAGTTCTCAGGAGACTGGTGCTCAGTCCTTACGCGGGTCCTCACGAAAGGCCGCTTGAGCACAGAGCCCAGCCCTTTTGCCTCTGGGCAACCCTGTGAGCGTTGTGACAGGCAGCCCCAAAGCAGTGAATTCTAGGAACGCTGGGGGGTGCGGTGGGGCAGGAAGGGGTGGGGGGATGGGAATGCTGCCTCTGGAGATTTCCCCAGGCCTGTTCTCACTGCTCAACTTTCAAACCTCCTGCCCAGCAGAAGCCTCTGCTTCCTTTCACCTTACCTCCTCACAGGGACGTCTGGTACTGCCAGGGGGCACATAGTGCGCATGAGTGTGGTAGGTGGGGTACTCGCTCATGGGGTGGTAAGCGTCACCTGCTGGAAAGAGGTCCAACTGTCCACAGTTCCTCCTGCGACACTGACACACAGCCTGGGGAGACAAGCACAGACAGGAGATGGCGGGCCTGTAGACCTCCAGCAGGGGGACTTTGGTCAGGGCTGCAGACAGCACTTACCAGGCCCATGAGATACAAGGCAGCCAGAGCCACCAAAATACAGATCAGCACCAGCAGGGCGATGCCCCAGCCAGGGACCCCGGACCCAGGCTGGGCAGAGGAAGGAAGCGACACACCTTGCACTGAAAGAAAAAGCAGTAGTCAGGGCAGGCTCCTGGAGGAGGCGGCCCTCCCCTTCCCAGCACCCAGGGAAGAGCAGGAGCCCAGCTGCTGGAGAGGAAGACACCCTGGAGGCATGGCACTGGCCAGCAGCTGGGCGAAAGGCCTCACCACTAACTCTCGAGATGGTCAGGTTGTAGTTGGCTGCTTCTGCTTCATTATCAAGAAGCTGTTGCTTCACCTTGTAGGCATCAGTGACGCCCTCTTGGAAGATCAGAACTGATTGTACCACCACAGATCCCGGACTGGACACAGAGAAATGGGCAACTCAGCCCAGTCTTGGGGTCCCACACTTACCCCCAACCATGAGTACAATATCCGCTCACCCACACAAAGTCCACACCCAGAACTGTACCTGAACTTGATACCAGACAGGCCCAGAAAGTCCTGTTTATAAATCTGCAAAAACTGGGGTAAGAGGGGAAGAAATAGGGCTCAATGCAATAGGTACAAGCATTCCCAAAGGCTCTTCGGAGGATTATGGTGATACAGATACTCACCATCTCAGAGATATTTCTCTGCAGTTTCTGGTAGTAATTGCTGCTGGGCTGCTCCAAGGAAGAGTTAAACTGGAGGTTCACAATGGAAAATGACAGGAAGAACAAGGAGAACTTCGTAGGGAAGGGAGTATGACTGGGGGCTTGGGAAGGGACCATGTGACTAGTGCTACTGGCCACAGGCCTGCTACTGTGGCTAGCAGGGGTGGTGGGAGAATCAGAGTAGAGGTTGGGGACTGAGGGTGAAGTGCCCTTGCTAGCTGGGGTTGTGGAAGTCTTGGCAGAGCTGCCACTGTGGCCTGGACTGGTTGAGCCTAAGGCAGGGCCGGAGGTCGGGGCTGAGCTATCACTGTGGCCTGGACTGGTGGTTGTGCCTGATGCAGCGCCAGTGGCCTGGGCTGAGGTTGGTGAGGCTGAGGCAGGGCCGGTGGTGTGGACTGAGGTTGGTGAGGCTGAGGCAGGGCTGGTGG